AAACTAGAGTTCCACGATCTCATACCTTCGCCAAATGATTATTTCCTCTGATTATGCAATAGATCCTATTTCCATGATCATGAATTATATCAGTTGATCATGTTCTCCACCAAAAGGCAGTCGTAATAATACTCTTATCTTAACAAAGAATGCCATTCCAGCCTTTCCTCATAAATTATGCAAATTATATCCTTATTTGAATAAGTTATGTTTAATAATGTTCACCTTCACTTAACTTTCAAATACCCTAAGAATGAAATTCCAGGCAGTTACCATTGCTAACTTACAACATATTCTCATTGATTATGCAAATTAAGTCTTTATTTACATAATCAATATCTGTCTGTGATTCTCTCGTTCTCAGTTACATTATTCAAATCAGGACCTTATTTGCATGATTTATGAGGAAATGTTAGAGTGGCCTTCTTTGTGAGGATAAGACTGTCATTATGTGGATGATATGATATATTTCATGATGTAATTCATAACAGGGAAATGATCTTATTTGTATTGTTAATGAGAACACACTTCGCAAGGTGTAAGGTAAACATAGTTTGGCGAAGGTATGAGATCGTGTAACTCTAGTTCTATGTTAAATGTCAGATTTAAGTCTATCCTAAATTCAAATTCATTTGATCGCTATTTACAATGTAATGATTGAAAGTTAAAATCAGTAGGCAATGTCGGACACACTTGGGCTGAGCTGGAGATTGTGATATTTGCTAAGTTTTTCCGTTGATATTTGCTAACTGCCAGTCTCGATTCTTATGCACATCACGTCTTATTAAAAATCAACATTGTATCCAACTTTGAAGGATCCTCTCCTAAACAATATGACGTCATAACGTATTGGCCAATAGCACACAGGCTAGTCCCAATTGAATTACTAACGCACAGGTGTTTATCGAAGTTGTCACACGTAGTCTAGATCTAATATGGGAGATTACTACAACCTTTAACTAATCCCTTAACAAATATGACGGCTTGGATCGTGTTAAACGTTGTTTGTAGCTGGTAGGACATTTTACACTGCGTGTCGTTAACAACGTAACAATTGGAGGCAGACACATAACCTTGCGTGCTGGAATGTCTAATTTACCGACTAGTTGTGCATGTCATATCAGAAGCAAATGGCAAAAACCAACGAAATTTTTCAGTGGCGGTTTAAATCCACCTATAAAAGTAACAATGAGTTATTTTTCTAACCAGGTTATCGAGCGTAAGAAATTAGACATTTGTGACCGACCAAGAATGAAATACTATATATAGCAAAGTGACGTTCCTTCCTATGATTTGATTTGGCATTACGCATTGAGAAAAGAACGGATCTAGAACAATGCGCTAAGTAGACAAGCTGATGTGCATGGATCCAATTTTCTCGGAAATGGCAAAGGGACAGAATCTTATCTTGTTTCATCTTGAAAGAAAGAAAAAACTTATTTTAGGATTATGTAAGTGTTTTTTGTCTGTTTCCCGCGCTCTTATCCTTCTGTTTGCAAGTTTGAGTTTGGAATTTTCGTGCCGACGCCTTGTGTACACAGTCTGCACACATCACCTTTTCTCGGCCCTTCCACGTGTAACAATATAATAGCGTCAAATCTTCAGTCAAACTCCAGTCAAAATACTTGTAAATTCTGTACTTAAAGTATTCCTGACTTTAAAAAGAACGTCACAGGTGTAACATACTATACTTCAAGATTGCCCAAGACCAGTTTTGAGACAAATCCTTGTGAGGGTTAGGGTTATTAGAGTCGGGTCATTGTTCAGGGCCAGGTTAGGTTAGCTGTAGATCGTCTGGCAAGACGACAAGGGCCCAAGAAGAGTCTCCCACATCACGACCAAACCCCTCCTACCCCTTGTCTCAGGTATATTGGAAACCCCCAAGTAGTGTCAGAGTCATGTATTTGGCAGGATCATGCATCTGGCTTGACATCGTGCAGTTGTATGCTTTAACTACCTCCACAATAATAACAGAAATGCCTATTTTCATATTTCCATTCACGATGATGTAGCAGTTCAAGAATAGAAAATAATGATTTTTAGACTATACCTATGCTTCTAACACTTCAGGGTAACTAACTAATCAGCGGTAGCTAAGTAATAACAATTCCAACGGTCTTGAGTAAACGTCTATTGTACTGCTATCTCCGCCATGTTGTTTGTATCTCACTCGTTGCCAGTTTCTTTTCGATCAATGCTTTATACCACTTCCAGATTTACAAATAATGTTATACTGAAACCTGGAAGCTTATTGTCGGTAAGAAACTCCAGTTTAAGTAAGGGACGTTCACAGCCACATTCTGAGCAGAATACTACAGGATATTACCAGAAAACTACCGTGACTAACCACGCCCAAACAAGACACGAAGGTCAAAGCACACAACGATTTGTAAAATGTTCTTCTTACCCAGAAGACAAAGTTGAAGATAAAGAGTAAGATCTTGATAATGGAGCCACAGCACCCCTCCGCCATCTTGGATGTTTTTCTCGCTGTGTCCTGAGGTATCCTCAAAGTGTCGTCTGTACGTGACGCCCTGGGTGGTTCTGTGGACAGGTGGGGTGTGGACTGGGAGTATTTACCTATGGCGGGGTCCCTGAAAACGTGTTCTACAGTTGAGCACAGCTGACGTCAACAGTGGGCGCGAGGCGGGAATTTGAACAGCAAATTCCCGGTAAGGCCACAACGTCTTCATTTTATGGATGACATCCTCTGAAGACCTCCAAACTAGTGTGCTTGGGCGAGTAAAAAAAATCCGGCCAAAAATAAAAATGCTACTAAACCACAGGAATACAAGGGCAAAGCTGGTATTGTGAATTGGCGGCAAAACGTAGCGACATATACGACAAGCATGCTGGCTTTTTGCGGATTTATGAATCGACACTGTATGGTATGTACTGAGGTCTTGAGTCGTGGAGCTTCAGCAGCCTGGATGCCATCCTCCGGATTACCACCGGCTCCGTATTGTCGCTATATAGCAAGCTACCATGGACTATCCAGGCCTAAAGCCAGGCAAGAGCCTCGGATGACGTGATTTTTTTTTGTTGTGAGAACAGGTATATATCAATGCGCGCGCGTCATCCATAAAATTACTTCGGTGTGGCCTAACGTAAGGCATCCGATGCAATTTCAGGACGGCAAAACAAAAAAAATATTCTGAATGAGGAAATCTGTTTGACATTTACTGCCATTTCTTAATACATTTTCGTCATCGTTTCATATTTGAAGTGCATGAAACAGAATTTTTGGTAAGCCTACAATACAAAACAAGCAACCGTGAGCGACATTGCTTTTTCCTCACAGATATCAGTATACTATGGGATAGGGTTCTTTCACCTTACTACATTGAAAATGCTCAGAAAATTGACCCAGAAAACCTAGTGTCACTGCCCTAAAATCACGTTGGGTGCCTTTAGGAAAGTAAAGATATGTTTGGTATGCCTTCTTAGAGTATAACTGACCATATAAAATTATGCAATTGGCGACTGATTCATATTTACGTTTGTGCTGTTCAACCCATGACAATGGCGTGTACCATACATGTAACACTTTCTTTCCAGTGATCGAACGTTCTCAAATACTGTTGTAACTTTCTGTACACATGTGCTACCTTAAAATAGTTAGCCTCTTTTACAGACTTCTTGGAGAGAGGGTCTTATTATTCTATTATTTGGGGGGGGGCGCTGATACCCAGTTTGTTTTACATGAGTTAGCTTCTCTAATGACAGTTGAACCTTAGTCCGTGTAAAAATCGCTATCAGCAACGCTCCAAGAAAGCTGGTAAGGGCGCTAAAATAGTTATATATACAGTGGTGTCGAATTTGTAACGCTTCATTACGTTCCAAAGCCCTTACATGTCGCATTTTAGTATTCTCTTTTCGTCACTTCTGCACTAACTTTGGAGGAAAATATCATAATAATATCAACATAAATCAAAAATGAATCACACTATTTTCCTTTTAATATTTATTGATGCTTAGTGGCGGTAACAAATTATTTTCCTTCTTTAGCGATCATAACAAGGCCACGTGAAACTTCAACCCTAACCAAGAGTTCTTCCAGGCACTTTTGTATGATCTACGATAACGTAACGCTGTCATCATTTCTGAACAACTTACCAAATAAGAATATATGGATCTGTTGCCATGGTAACGGTTTTTCCCGTCGCCATTTAACCAAGTCAGTCCGACAACTCACATATTGTATTTCCTGCTATATAAAAATGTGATGGAAACATCACTTAAAGTAACTCTATAACATGTTTGTTCACCAATCTTTCAAACGTGTAAACAACCTAAACAAATTTAACGAAATAATTAACTAATGTCTAACTTTTAAACTATACCGACTTGACTTCGTAACGTTTAAAACAAAGGAACATTCCGAAATCTCTTAGGAAGGAGTCATATGAAGAATACATAATGCTGTACGGTATACAAAATATCATTTCAACTCAATACTTCAATACAATACTCCAACATTTCCTCTGAGAAGTGCTACAAGGCACACTGCAAGTAGAATACAACTTATGGCCTTAATATCCACTTGTCTACACGCAGCTGGAAACTGGCAAGAAACAAGATGGCGGATTTCTATGCGATGGTTTCGCCGTAGATGTTCCTCATCAAGACGCATGCGCAGCAAATGCCAATGATCTGCGGGATGAGAGACAGTTGAACGTTACGTCATCAAACAGCACTTCATTTCTCTACATGCAGAGTAGTCATTACTGGACAGGCGATCAACACGGCATTAGTACATAAAATATTTGTGATTCGACGTTTAACAGTGTAATACCATATCCCATATTACGTCGATGATGGTAATGAGATACACATGGGAAATGATAGATCAAGCAACTGGATAGGCCTCTTACTACTTTTTATTATTAAACAGTTGTACGATTGCTTACCTGGACTATGGCGATAGCCAGTGCTACTCCTGCCACGATGACGATGTTGTTGGCCAGGAATGACTCAAACTCCGTCAGACATGGCTACAAGAAACACACCATAGTTCAGTACATATACCAGTAAATCTGTAACAACCCATGTCTGGGTTTAGAAATATTGCAGTACCAATATATCCTAAGACATGATAAGATGACGCTTTAAGATGAAGAACCTTATTGCACGACAATTGCACATGGTACAATGTATGGGTAACTACATAAAGAAAGTTACAAACAATATAAATGATTAATGTGCTGAACAAGACCTAATGTCGAATAAACCTAATAAATCTATATCATAATTATTCAAATAATAAGGGATAGCAGAAGTCTTTGATAAAGTGTAACAATCGAGTGGGCTAATCACAAGTTTTGGAATTTTTTCTAATAACAAAGCATTCCTTTATATATCTACCTATTTTTGCGTTGTTGGGACTATTACATGTAAAGATATATTCAAGCAAAGCAAAATGACTATCTGTACCTGATGCACGGCGCATGGCGGGATGCTGACGATGGGTTTGCAGCCTGTGAGCTGCAGACACACGCAGGTGGACTCCAGACACGGGAAACCCCAGTTGTCAGTGGACGTCAAACCGCAGCAGGTGAACTATGAACGGGAAATGTTTTACGATCACTGTTAACGTTTTGATCCTTCTTTCTTCTTTCAGTATTTCCCAAACACATCAGTCTTTTACACAAATTACTAACTGCTGTTACAATGAAGGGTTAAACTTAAAACTATTGGCTAAAACCCGTTTTTGCTTCTTTTGTTGCAGTCTTCACGAAACTAGTAACATTACCTCATCCCTTCTGATTTTGCAGTAACAAGAGCATACTAGTATGTAACAAACGCGAAAACTGGCCGTCTCACTTGAAAATAGTTTCATGTTGTTGGTAAAGCATAGGGTACTGGAGTTTCTTTTTACACAACTGGTACATGTATGAATGAATGAATGAGTGGTTTATTTGGTCAACATGATCCTTAAAGAGTACATCGCAGCCAGGTAAAGTGGCTGAATTGCATAATTTTCACATCAATATATAAGGCTATTTACAAATTGACATTTGGTACAAATATTAATATCTACATAGTAATAATGCTCTGAATACGGAGAAGTTACTGTTCGTTTAGTAGTTTTATCATGTACGGAATAGGACTGTTCTTGTATCTGTTTGTTCGTGCTTTGAATGTGGACAATGTATAGGCTCTGACCTGATTCTCGCTGCTATATGTAGCAGACGTAGGTGCTCTTGAATCAGTACTCCAGTCAGAAGCTTCGAGGACAGTGTCTGATAGACATCGAAACGTAAGCAGCCAAGAGTCTATACCGGTTGTGTAAAAAGAAACCTAATAACCTGGTTGTCTCACCTTCTTCTGGATGCTTCTCACGGCGTTCTTGAAGTCGTCATTCTTGTTTTCCACAGTTTCTCCATGGAGAGCATCAGTGAAGGACTGCCTGGCGTAGTCTCCGATCTAACATCAACAGTAAAGCATTAACATTCACATTCTTTAGTTTCATCCCTCACGTGGTATTTGTTTATTGTAATTAAAGACATTTTGTAATTTATATTGAATTTGCCAAGCATTTACTACATTTGTTAAAGCATGCATAAAATTGAGCGGGTAATTACAGTAGGTTATTTGCAACAACTCCTTTAATCAATTACGATTACCCTTTAACCAGCCATTAACCATCTAATTAGCCATGGTTAAAGTACAAATACATCTAATTAGCCATGTTTAAAGTATTAGTTATGCCTAAATTAACAAACTTCCAAAACGTAACCCTACAATTTAAAGCGGCGATATCAATTTAGCTTTCATAACGAAGACCATGGACTGACCTTGTCCTTGTACACAATCGCCAGAATCCCAGCAGCCAGTTCGATGACGAAAAGCAGCCCAAGCAAGATGGCGAACTGCACGCAAAGAAGAACATCCGTTAGGTCAAGTACGAAAGGTCGCAACGTCCGGTAAAGTAAATCTGTCACTGACAAACATGTGTGTAAGTTGTTACATACACAGCCTACATTCATCGTTTTAAAATGATGACTTTTACGTAATGATACGTAATGATGATTTGTAGGTATTTTATATCTTACATCGTCATTAACAAATGAAATAGATTATAATTTACGATATATCAACGAAAAGTCCGTACAAAAAGATACAAAAACTCTACCATACCATACCTAACCAGACTGTTAAACGAATAAATAGCAATATTGTATTCGCTACAAGCTTTCATAGAACTTGAACAAAGAAAAAAAATGTGACTTACATGTACATGTATGTGATGAAAGAGTTAGGCCCTGTAAGTCGTACTGTTTGCGAAATATTCTTATGTGCATTACATATTAATTATATTGATTATTTTCTAATCATCTGTAACGGATACGATAGAATTGCTTTTAAATAGGTAAATGATTTGTTTTATATTATAAATGAATGATACTTTTGAATATTTGTAATGGAACCTGACAATAGGCTGTGAGGGAGTTTCTCACTCAGTTTCCAAACTGTCGTTGTCGTGACTTCTTCATTGACCAATCACGTACCGTCATGAGCATGCACTTGCTCTCTTTGATGGCGCCGCAGCAGCCCAGGAAGCCGACGATCATGGTGATGACTCCGGCGGCGATCAGCACGTAACAGGCGTTGTAGAACCACGTCATGTTGAGTTCACCGGACACAACCTCTGCCACAGCCGGGTCCACACGCAGCCAGATCCCGACTCCGAGCAGGACCGCTCCGGCGATCTGAGGGACAGGAACAACGTTACCGCTAACATGCATACATAGATGCTAAACTGTCTTGATGGTTATTTCTGTTCAGTGCGCTACTTTAATAGTGGACAGTTGAATTGATCATCATGTGTTGCAAGTTCTTCTTCTAGATTGTAGTGAACAGTAGCCTGGGTACCTTCCTACTTGTATGCCGGGGCTCCCACACTTGCTTCCCTAAGAAGTACTTCTCCCACACTTGCTTCCCTAAGAAGTACTTCTTAGGGAAGCAAGTGTGGGAGCCCCGGCATACAAGTAGGATGGTACCCAGGCTAAGTGAACAGGTCAACACACAGGACTTTTGTGGAGCATCGTGGTTTATTGTGTTTCCTCCAGGACTCTAACTCCAGAGTGAGGTTCCTGGGTTGGAATATTCTACTGTCAGATAAGGGGGGTTTACAACAGGACTGCTCTACTTCTAAAACAGGGGGATTCTTGTGTGGTAATGGACAAATGGTATACAGTGGGTTCACATCACAACATCATGATTCTTGAAATGTCTTGTTTAAAAGAATCAGCACGTAATCAACAGTTGTAAAATAGAGTTTCAAACTCTTCTTCTGCACACTATATGTTTGTTATTACTGTTACGTCTACTGTGTATTTGTATGTTAATTTGTTTTTTAAATGTATATTTATTTTTATTTATTTTATTTATTCTTTAATTCAGGCCCCTGGCCCATATCACATTGCGAGTATGTGTCACATATTTATGTCACTACAATGACTACATTATGTGTACAATATTTTAAGGATGACTTATTGCATTTTATTGTAATCTGTTGATGCTGAATTTTAGACTGCTGTACATTGCAACACAATTCAGGAGTTACTCCTGCCATTTTGGTCTATCAAATAAAGTTTCATACTTTCTAAGTTACTCCTAGCGGTTCGTATTAGAAGTGCAGTATGATTTTGGTGGTGAATAGCTCATGGTGCGTGTCATATCATGAAACACGCTTCCCGGGTGTTGCATTAATTTGATGTTGGGAGACTCAGACTGTAAAAAAAACAGGGTCGTTCGTTTTTGCTTCAGGGCGATGGTTATGAAATGGTATGAAGTGCCAAGTAGGCCTGCCTGCCTATATGCTTAGGTCAAGTAATATAATCAAGTATGAGTAGACTGGAAATTAGTGGAATCATTCCTCTGCCGACAGACGTCTTTTAAACCGCAACCATTCATCAGTAAGGCATTACTCTCCAAGCAGAGGTTGTGGGGAAATGATCGTTACATTTTTATATATGGCCGTTTTTTTTTGTCCTGACCCCCGTCGGTGGCCGCGGACCTTCTCTGGCTAATGGATACTGTCTGGCCAATTTGTCTTTTTGCCACCAAGAGGGATCTGCTTGCAGATTATAAGGCATCTGGAATCGAATGGGTCCCGTTTGGAACCTTTATGCAGCTTATCACTAGGGTCAAGGTTAGATCTACAGGCTGTATGCTCTTATTGACATGTTCGCTGGTGACCGTGTATGTGTGAACCACAGTGTACTTTCACGGGTCTTTCACACGTACGTCACTCACTGCTTACGAAAACATTCCTGCTACACAGATCGTGTTCGCACCTTAATTACGCCGCCTGGTGTTGTGATTATGTTGCTAGGATAGGAACTCGACAAACGCATTTCTATCTCTTGACAAAATCTGATTAGTGTAAAAAGTTCTTTTGTGCCTGGGGAAATGGCCCCGTGAATTTGAGCTGTCCTTGAGTTGACGCAGGCCTTGTACCTAAATTGTTGCTTAAGCACCGTGGATGCGAAGCGGCATTCTTTAATCTACCTCGGCCTGCCTCTGGACAAAATCAAGACGACAATGGAGTGGGTGGGCAAGGTGTTAAGGATTAGCCTCTGAAACCCAGCTCTGGGGGGCTCCCTACATACTACTACATAGTAGTAGTCCGCCGGCTGGATGTTGGTAGCCTCTACCAGGCTTGAGGGCTCGGCTGGAAACTGGATGGCTAAACTCCCTCGGCGTGTTATCTCTCTATTTGGCCAATTTCTACTATTCCAGCCGCGCCCTCAAGCCTGGTAGAGGCTAGGATGTTGGGCGGCCGGCAAAAGCGATTTAATCAGGCTAGGCAAGGATTATTCGGTACATTTCTTACTATACATTCTTTCTGTCCATGGTACATTTCTTACTGTACATTTTTACTGTCCTTGGTAGACTTCTTACTATTCATTTCTTACTGCCATTGGTACATTTCTTACTCTTCATTTCTTACTTACTGTACCTTACTGTACTGTACTTTCTTACTTACACTTACGTACCTTTCTTTCTGTAGATTTCTTTCTTTCACTGTGTTGTGAACCCACTGTATACCATTTGTCCATTACCACACAAGAATCCCCCTGTTTTAGAAGTAGAGCAGTCCTGTTGTAAACCCCCCTTATCTGACAGTAGAATATTCCAACCCAGGAACCCCACTCTGGAGTTAGAGTCCTGGAGGAAACACAATAAACCACGATGCTCCACAAAAGTCCTGTGTGTTGACCTGTTCACTACCATCTAGAAGAAGAACTTGCAACACACTGACATTGTACATTCTCTGACGATCCCACCCTACAGCGACATTTATGATCGATCCCTTTTGCCGGGTCCTGGTGGTGTTACCAGGGAAGCAGGTAATGGTGGTTTGGTTTGGTTTGGTTGAGAGGGGGACGTTTCGTTAGACATTCGTTAAGGGTTAAACACAACCCAAGCCTTCATTTCCTCATATTCATTTTCTAACGTACCGTGTCCGACTTGGTGTGTCTCTTTTGGCTTTCCTGGTAACGGACTGAATAACGAATACTAGTACTAGTAATTCATGGCAGGCTTAAGCGACGGTCACAACCCGCCGTATGTGACCGCGTGATGTCTACGTGCAAAACCGTGGGCAAACGTAGGGCATCCGTGCGTGGTGAGTACCGCCTCCGTACGGAATCCTACGGATTTGGGAGCACGCAGACACGCCGTAGAACTTTAAGCCTCGGTCACAACTCGCCAAATCCAGTGCGTGGCACGCACATGCTTCGTGCGCTGTCCGTACAGCAATTGCACGTGAGAATAGTGAAGTTAGACTCACGGAGTCCGTACGTTGCACGCTCATAGGCTGTACGGGGCACGCGCGTCGCACGTACTCGCACGCACGGGTGGTAAATCCGCAGACCGCACGTAGAAAAAGTATTACATGCACTTAAAGTTCTACGGCGTGTCTGCGTGCTCCCAAATCCGTAGGATTCCGTACGGAGGTGGTACTCACCACGCACGGATGCCGTGCGATTGCCCACGTTTTTGCACGTAGACAGCACGTAGAAGCACGTACGGCGAGTTGTGACCGTCGCTTTAAGTGCATGTAAAACTTTTTCTACGTGCGGTCTGCGGATTCACCACCCGTGCGTGCGAGTACGAGCGACGTGCGTGCCCCGTACGTGTCGTGCGGAAGAAGCACGTGTGAGTATACGGCTTCCTTACGGTAAAGTTGCAATCGCACGGAGATCGTACGTTGTAAGCACGTACAACTCACTTACCACTTGCGCAACGTACGATGCACGCAACCGCTCACGGCCAGACTTGGCGTGCAGACCACACTCTTACACTTTGCGCAACCGTGCTAGTGACGTGCGAGTGACGTGCGTAGACGCCACTCCTTCCCCACGTTTTCAGAAAAAACGTAGCAGACGTAGCCTCCCAAAAAACGTACGGAGAAAAAGCACGTACGGCGGGTTGTGACCGTCGCTTTAGTTACAAGAAAAATCCAGTGCGATAGATAAAAGAGTACTTCCATTCTTCCAAGAAGTGAATAACCAGTAGCTTGAGTGTCAGCCTTGTTAGCTTTCGTCCGCTCCCCATATTTGAACTTGACCTTTGTCTTCCTAAGACATATTAGCATACTAAATATCATCACAATCCATAAAGGCGTTATGAAGTTATGCTGACTACAAATGTGCGGAAACACAAACACACACGCAGACACACACACAGACACACACACACACACACACACACACACACACACACAGACACGCCAAAAACAATACCTCCATTTTTCATGGAGGTAATAACCAGGCCTGTGAAGAACAGAAGATATCAGGCCTGTAGCCTTGTCCCTGGGGCCCGCCCATCCTTTTCCGGTTGTTCGACAGGGCACGCCCAGTCCAACCGGAAGTTTGCAGAGGTGTGACGTGTTAGGTTATACATTTGCGACCTGCACGGGAGTTGTGGAACATCGCTAGCCTCTATCAGGCGTAGGTGGATGGAAAGAGAAGAAATTAGCCGAATAGACATATTCATAACATGTTAGGGGAGTAGTTCGCCAAAGTTGTACAATTTGCTAATCTAAACTGTACTAATTAGTACTAAACTGTACTAATTGGCCAATATCTATAGCCTCTACCAGGCTTCGGAAGGTGGTTGGAAAGAGTAGAAATTGGCCAGATAGAGAGAGATAACATGCCGGGGGAGTTGGTCCGGTAGAGAGTACAACTTTGCCGCACGCGGGGCTACTCTACTGACGTCTGGTAGAGGCTACAATGATAGTACAGACTGCCAGTCCTCCTGTGTAAGTCACATTTTAGCGGATTTCACAGACGATGGTGACCACCATTTTTCCTTGCTTAAAAAAGTAATAATGACTTCAACATGATTTATCGAGCTTGCGTAAACAAGTACGAAGAGGACATGTAACATGTGATTCAACATGTAAGAATTTAATTGACTGAGATGACAGAAGGACGATAACAAGTTCAAGGAAATGGTAATGTCATGACGTAATCACTGAGAGAAAAAGAAATGACCAATAACCATTTCATTTAACTTGTTATCGTCCTTCTGTCATCGCAGTCAATTAAATTCTTATATACATGTACATACCCCGCACCATTTCAGGCCATTTCAGGGACCTGAGTCATTCCTTATACACGTCACACGCCCGGGACGCGGGACATTCCATCCTGATAGCTGAATCCCAACAATTCAAGCTATCAACACCGCGAAA